TAATTCGCCGTGTGCTGCCGTGGCTCGCAGGAGACCAGGACTAACTGCAGAGGTTCTGGTAACGTCCCCTTCCCCTGTCCCCTACACTTTTTCCTTCTATGAAAACAGTTACTAAGAATAAAAATTAAAAATTCTACTCAGAAAACTGGGGCAAGAGGATGACAAGTTCCAGCACAGCCTGGACTGCCTAGCAAGACCCTGTCTCAAAATAAGAAAGACTGGAAAGCCGGGGGAGGTAGTGCACACTTGTAATCCCAGCACTCAGGAGGCTGAGGCAGGAGGATCGCCATAGGTTTGAGGCCAGCCTGGGCTACATAGTGAGTTCAAAGTCAGCCTGAACTACATAGGGAGACTCTGTCTCAAATGTAACAATCAGAAATGGCAAGACATTTGTATAGAAGTTGTGTTAAGATGCCAGAATCTGGGGCCAGGTTGTCTATAGTGGGATATCGGTATCCCATCTTGTTTTATGAAGTTTAAAGGACGCCTTAGAGTGGTTACCGCAAGCCAGGCTCTAGGGCTCCTGGCTGTCAGGCCAGGTTCCCTGGAGGCTGGTGCAGGAGGAGCACCTGAGCCGAGGAGTTTGGCACCAGTCTGGGCCATGCAACCTTTTCTCTTTGTCTCTCTGCCTCTCTCTGCTCCTCTGTCTCTCTTTTTATTTATATTTATTTACTTACTTATTTACAAACAGGGTCTTGCTTTGTAGTCAAGGCTGGCCTTGCCCTCACTATGTATCCCAGGCTAGCTGTGAACTTGTGATTGTCCTGCCTTAGCCTCCTGAGTGCTGGGATGACAGGTGTGAGCCACCACACCCGGCCTCTGTCTCTTTTTTTTTCTTTCAGTACCGGGGATCGAACTCAGGACCTTGCGCTTTCAATGCAGGTACAGAGCCACTGAGCTAAATCCTCGGCCCTGTCTCTGTCTTGAGATTGCACCTCTGTGTAGTCCATCCTGGCCTCAAATTCATCTTCAGTCCTCCCAGAGGCCAGGGCTATAGGTCCAGACCACATCATGTCAGTACTTTTTTTAAAAAGAAACAATACAAATTTTGTTGGCCCATTTTAGGGATACATAGTGATCGCATTCATCAGAGAGAATTTGCGCCTGCTCATGATAGATCTTGCTCCTTTTTCCCCATTCCCCTCCCGCCCTTCCAACCCTCTCCTTCCTTATTTACAGAAGCAGGCCATGGTGCACAGATCCGGGCACAGCCTGGAAGGGGCTCCCTGGCCTCGCCGGCCCCCAAAGCATTTCTGACACAAGGGAAAATTCAGGTCGTTGATTAGATCTGAGCATCTCCTGTGTGACTCTTGTACTTGTGGCATTGTTTTGCAGCACTGGGGATGGAAGCCTGGGCCTGCACAGCTGCCACAGCCTCTGCCCTTTCTATTTTTTCTTTATTTTTATTATTTTGAGACAGGGTCTTCCTAAGTTGCTAAATTGTCCAGGCTGGGCTTGAACTTGCTGTCTTCCCAACTCAGCCTCCTGAGAGCCTGCGTCTTCTGTGACTTTTGTCATTCAGTACAGGCGTGGTGGGGCACAGGCCTGTAATCTGAGCATTGTGGGAGGCTGAGGCAGGAGAGTCTTGAGTTTGTACCCAGCCTGGACAATTTAGGGACTTGGCAAGACCTTGACTCAAAAAAAAGAAAGAAAAGAAAGAAAGGGGCAGAGTGATCTAGCTTAATGTGAAGGCCCTGTGCTCAGTCCCCAGTACTGCCCCAAACAACCAAACCAAACCAAAACAAACAGAAAACAGCCCCCCCCCCCGACTCCCAAGGAAAACACAGGGTTTTCAGAAAGGTGGGAATTTAAAGTGAGGCTTTTCAGCTTATCCCTTTCTTGGCCGCAGGATTGCCAGGACTGTTAACTACCCGAGGTAAGGCAGGAGGGAGACCAACGCCAGATTCACCACCGGCCCCGGGAGGGTCCGCTTCCCTCCTCTCCCCCGGGGAGGCACAGGTTACTTTCAACATTCTGCCTGTGGCTTTACTGTAGTTTCAAACATTCAGTTTGTCTTGGTTTTCAGCCTGATTTCTGCTGTTCTGAACCTGAGCGAATTAGGAGCTGAGCCCAGAGCTGAATGCAAGGCTTCGCTGGGCGCTGACTGCCACCCTCTCCGGGACGCCAGGCTCTGCAGTGTGAATAATCTCGCTCTTCAGGGAGCCCGGGGTCTGCAGGGGAAAGCGGGCCAGGATTAAAGCTGAAAAGCACAGGCAGACAGCTGCCAGACGGAGGCAGGAAAACGGGGAGCTGTTGGTAAATATTGCCGTTTCCTGGGGCCGAGCCGGCTTCGCCTGGAGCCAGAGACAAAGGGAATTTGTGAAATAAAGAAGCCAAGCCGGGCAGACAAAGGCCTGGGGCCAGGAAGTGAGTTCGAGGAAGGCTGCGGAGAGGTTGGCATTTGAATGGGTCCCGGTGTGCGGCTCACCCCGAGCCTGAGCCACAGCAGCTGGAGACGCCCCGCCTGCCGGGCGGGAAAGGTTGTTCTGGGGAATCTGAAAGGCCCAAGCATCTGCGAAAGGACTTCAAGGCCAGGTCCCACAGCCGGGCACAGCGACTGGAGGGGCGAATTGCCCAAAAGCAGAGCACAGACAGGGCCGAGCTCCTGCTGGGCAAGCCGAGGCTGGCGCGGGCTCCGGGACTCAGTGGACAAGACCGGGCCGGCCCCAGGCGGGGACCTGGGTGACCACCGAAGGCCGCAGGAGTCACTCCCCCAGCTCAGAGGGCATGCGGGGTCCCCTGCGGCTGCCCCTTCGGCCCCCAGTCCCCAACACCTGTGCCGTTACTTATCCACTTATCCGGCGGGTGGGCTGCCACTGTCCAGCTGCGAAGCACCAGACCGAACGTCCTCAGCTCCCAGCTGCCCGCCCCTCGACGCACTGCCCGACCAGTTCTCAGTAGACCCATAAAAATGATTTTTTATTCCCTGTGATCACTGTGAGTTCAGGGCTGGGCTATATGGCCTGACCCTGTTGCCTTCAATCCTGTTGAAATTCTAGTTGTAAAAAGTGGTGACTGGAGGGTTTTACGTGTTCGGTGCCTTCTATAACCTATGCATCCAAAGCACCCAAGTATCTGACAACCGCTCCTCGGGGTTTGGCATAAATTCAATTTACATAAACTACCCCAGCCCCTTCTCTCTCCAGGATAGACAACTGGATTGTACAGACGGAAGACATTGAAAAATAAATGACTAGGAAAAACTTGCCCCTGTTATCTTGTATCTTCCTCTGCTTTAAAAAGGGGGTGTCACAAACAGGGCATGGTGGCACATGACTGTCATCACAGCTACATGGGAGGCTGAGGTGGGAGGATCACAGCCTCAAGGCCAAGTTGGGTAGCTTAGTGATATGTCTCAAAATAAAGAGCTTGGGGTGTATTTCAGTGATGGGGTAAATGCAGGAAGACCCTGGGTTTGACGCCCAATACCACCAAAACAAGTGTTTGGCCAAATTTGTACTCATTGAACCACCAAGTGAAAGAAATCAAGCATAGACAGAGGTAAAGTCCTTTTTTATTCATTTGCACTTCACAGCCCAACACAAACCATCAGCAAGCAGTGCCAAGACATTTTTACAAACACAACAGAGGCCGCAATAAACCCAGAGCCCAAGGGGGGAGGGACCAGTGCAGGAAATGTAATTTAACTCTTCACCTGAACAACTGACTCTTAATATATTTATTTATATTTTGGGGGGTACTGGGGATCAAATGATTCGTATTTATTTATAACCGGATGTGGTGACACACACCAGGAATCCCAGCATTTTGAGAGGCTGAGGCAGGGGGATCCCAGACTCAAGCCCAGTTTTGAGAAATTAAGACCCTCAGCAAGACCTTGTTGCAAAAGGGGAGTGGGGTGGGAATGCAGCTCAATGTGAAGGCCTCGGGTTCCATCCAAGTTCCACCCAAGAAAGTAAAGGGTGTTTCTGCAGTTCCAGGGATGTAAGCCAGGGCCTCAAGTGCGCATGCGGGGCAAGCACCCTACCCC